CTGAGGATCGAACCCGGGCCGCACGCATGCCAGGCGAGCGCGCTACCGCTTGAGCCACATCCCCAGCCCTTGTTAAAGTTTTCTGTAGCTACAAGTTTAATGTTGTTGCTTGAAGTAAACCTTCTTTAGTTTGTGTGTTTTTTTGTTTGTTTGTTTGTTTGAAGTGCTGGGGAGGGAAGCCATGGCTTCCTGCATGATAAGCAAGTGCTCCACCTGAGCTACACACCCAGCCCTCTTATTTAGTTGCAATCATTCTGTTTTCTTCTAATAGTAGAGTAGACCTATGGAACTCTGACTCTCCATGGCATGTGACTTGGTGTTGAATTAGTATATATCATGTATCCTATGCAAAGCCATTCTGGACAGGGACAAGTAAAGAGAGAGAGGCTCAGGAGAACATGAAACTTGTGAATACCTGTCTTTTCTCCTCTCACATAGTTTATTAATGTGTTAGCAGATACCTAGAGTAACTTAAGATCAGTCTGAACTCGGCCTCAGCCTACATGTATTGGATGTATATTTCCAAAGGACTGTTTTTCAGTGGGTTGCCTATATTATCAGGAGAACATCCAAGCAGGTGAAATAGCACCCTAAGTTAATCTAATCCTTTGGTACATGAAGGATATAAGAAGATACTTTCAAATGGATCCTAAACATTGTTTGTTTTTGGTACTGGGAGCAAATCAAGGGCCTTCTTCATGCTGAGCTAAACACCCAGCCCTAAAGATTTGCCATTAAATTTTTCTTTAATGCAAGTGCTAGGGATTGAACCCAGGATCTAATGCATGCTAAATAAATGCTCTACCACTGAGCCATGCTCCCAGCCCCTAGTCCATTTTAGTGTGTGCTAGAAAGGGGCGTCTGTATGTATGTATTTATTATTGGAGTACTGGGGATCAAACCCAGGGCCTTGAACATGTCAGGCAAGTGCTCTACCTCTGGGCTGCATCCCCAGCCAGGGAGAGGTGGTTTTGAATAAACAGTTCTATTCTCTCAGTCAGCTGGGCCATTTAGTTTTCACACTTGAACTCTCTCTTCTCATTTAGATGAAGGAGAAAATAACTCCTCTCCTTCTTTCTGATGGAAATTATCTACTCTGTTCAGCCAACTGCATGGCCCCAGGCGGCAGCGGGTCAGGAGAATTTTGTTCACAGCCTGGTTGCTTGGATGAGTGGCTGTCCTGCTTTGAAGCCTGAATAGGTCAGCTGACTTACACCCCATGGGGATCTCAGACCCAGACTCAGCTCATTTCCATATAGTACTCAAATATGCTTTCACTTCAGGTTTATCACTTTACAAAGAGTGCCACAGAGAACCCTGTAATTTGGTTGCTTACTCTAAGATTATTTAAACTTATTAACTCTGAGACTCTGGTATCTATGTACCATTTCCCACTAAAAGGAGAAAAATGCTCCTTTGAAAAGTGGCTCATTCTAAGCTTAGGAGAGCAAATACATAAGTCAGGAATATTTAGGCCATTGCAAACTACTGAGGTAGCAAATGCACTCAAGAAATAATTTGAAGAGGCTCCCCCTGGCCAAACATAGCATTATGTAAGCATTAATAAGAATAATAAGGGGGTAACAACAAATCCCACCGCTATGCACACCTGTAAGGCACCAATTAAAAAAGGAGTGTGGAAAAAAGTTATTCTACTTTTTCTTAGAATCTAGTAATACCAATTAAAACTTTGAAGCTATTTTAAAATAAATAAATAAAGCATAAGTCAAAGCCAAAAAGAAGAAGAAGGAGGAGGAGGGGCTTGGGGTATAGCTCAACAGTGTGAACCAAGGTACAAATGCAGAGCATGTAAGGACAGACAACCAGAGTCAGTAGGTGAGGCCTTGCCTTGTTCAGGATGTGAACTTTACCCCTGACTTGAAGCAGGGGGCAGGGACCCTGATAGCCAAGGACCCTGGAGGATGATGTAGTCCACATAGGGAAGGAAAAGCCAGTTTCATTTTCTACTTGGGACCATTTTCTCCTTTTGCACACAATCTTCTACACTGAGGGTCACAGGTCCTGTTTCTCCCACATTGTCCTGTGCCTATTTCTGGGGACTCTGGTTTGAGTTCTGGGATGTCTCTAGGAATTTTATGTGTTGATTTCCATAAAATGGGGAGGAGCTAGAATCATGCCATCTCCCGTAGCAAGAAGACCCAAAGCAGAGGATCAGCTTAGAACTGATCACTCACAAATCTGGTGTAGAGACTTGCCCAGTGACAGTCCAGACAACCACCCAAAGTGAGGTGGAGGAAGCCTACCACACTGCCCTATTCCTGCTTCGAACACAGTGGAAACATCCCTCCAGCAGCCAGGACAGAGAAGGCTACACAGGCTGGGTCCCACCTTGGGGTCCCTGCAGTGGAGTCTACCCTGGAGGGCCACTCCTGCCCCTTGCTCACTTGGTCCTGGGCTCCTAGGCTGGAGACATGGAGTGGGGCAAGAGAGTATCTCTGTAGAGTGCTGAGCTCAAGGGTCCACCCTAGGAGCTTTTGTAGGCCTAATAGTGCATTTACCAAGCACTTCCTTGCCTGGAGGTGCCTGGGTGGCCCTTGGAGGCAAGGGATTCTGACAAGCCTCTGTGCATGTGATTTCATGGATGTGACCAGTAGGGTGAAAAGTGAGGTAAGTGTGGCTCAGTGGCAGAGGGCTTACCTAGCATGCACAGAGCCCTGTGTTGGATCCCCAGCATTGCAAAAATAACAAGAAGTGGACTCAGGAGGCTTAAGGTAGTGGGGATCATGCCAGGGCCTGGGCCACCTGCTCCCCCTTTAGGTTATCCCTCTTCCCCCCTAAAACCCCACTAGTCTACTCCCTGCTCCTCTTGTAGGCTAATGTGCTGCCTCCTCCTGATACTCAACACAAACTCACTCACCCTGCAAGACCAGGTTCAAGTCCTGCTTCCTCTAGAAACCTAGGTCTCTCTACCTGAAACTGCCCACCTCACAGTTCCTTAGCTAATTACATGCTGTTCTCTAGTCTTCTCATGTTAGTCCTTTTTTTGTAATGTCTTCTCTCGTTATAGAATTACTGAATTGTGTACATTATAGAATAAAATATAAACCACAGAATAAAGAAAAGATCCACATACATAGCTATCTAGAGGCAGCCACTATTATCAAGCCTTTCATGTAAGGCTTTTCTGTGACTTCATATATATTTTTTCATGTTTAGTTTTTGTATAATTTTGTTTCTCTAACAATATTACAATTTATTGATGGGGGGCCGGGGATGTGGCTCAAGCGGTAGCGCGCTCGCCTAGCATGCGTGCGGCCCGGGTTCGATCCTCATCAGCACCACATACCAACAAAGATGTTGTGTCCGCCGAGAACTAAGAAAAAATAAATAAATCTTAAAATTCTCTCTCTCTCTCTCTCTGTCCCCCTCTCTCACTCTCTCTTTGAAAAAAAAAAAAAATTTATTGATGGGCATAAGTGTTTAATATTACTGTATATTTGCTTATTTTCTGTGACTATAACAGAATATCTGAGACTGAGATATTCTATTTATTAGAATTATTCTGTTTATTCTGTTCTAGAGGCTGGGAAGTCTAACAGCCTGGCACTGACAAGGACTTCATGCTACTTCAGCTTATAGTGGACAGCAGAAGGCAAATGGACACAAACAAGAGAGTTGGTCTCATAACACCCCACTCCCTTGTGGTAAACTAATTCAATCTTGAAAGAACTACATTAATTTACAGGCACAGCGGCTCATACCAGTAATCCCTGCAGCTCAGAAGGGTGAGGCAGGAGGATTGCGAGTTCAAAGCCAGCCTCAGCAAAAAGGGAGGCACTAAGCAACTCAGTGAAACCCTGTCTCTAAATAAAATGCAAAATAGGGCTGGGGATGTGGCTCAGTGGTCAAGTACCCCTGAGTTCAATCTCTGGTACAAGAACTGCATTAATTCTTTTTAATGGCTTAGTCACTTTCAAAGTAGCACCTCTCAACACTTATACCAGGGACCAAATTTCAACATGAGTTTCAGAGGGGACAAACCATATTCAAACCATAGCAAATTATGCCCCTCATGTGCCTGGGATACTATAAATATCTGTAATAGCTTCTCAATATTTATTTGATCAAATAACTGAAAGAAATCTCTGAGCTCATAACCCAATATCAGTGTATACACACGTTGGTAAGGGGAAAGGAACTAAATTGGAACCAGGCTTTCATACTTTATTTACATGCTTTTAAAATATTTGTACTTTTTACAATGATCATATCTTAAATGCTTATAATCTTCTGTGAGTTCTAAATTTGAAAGGATTCAGGATACAGCAGGGAAATTACCTGAATGCACTAGTTCTGAGAAGACCTTGGCATTATCAGGGCCAATCCTGCTTTGGAATCATCTGATTGACTTTGAGGGTGGGAGAACAACAAAGTTAAGTAAATGAAGTCCAAGAGAGCCCCAAGGGAGTTCTCTTTGAGCTGGAGTCTTTGGGACAGCCTTTGTCTTGACCCAAAGGTATTCTTGAAGCCATTAGCTCAGGAAAGGCTTAGCAACCTGAACAGCATCTGCTACCTAGAGCATCTAGGAGGAGAATAAGGGTTTGTTGGGGAACTCTTGGTTGAAGACAGGGCACATTTGTTCCTTAGGACTTCATGAGGCACTTTGAGTTGAGAGCTGAGGGGTCGAGTCAGCCAGGCCTAGGGGAGGAGGGACTGGCTGAGGTTGTTTGGGAGAATGTACTTCAGACTCTAAAGGGCCTCTCCCCTGTTATAGAGCCACAGCTTTCCCATACTCAACTGTGCCTGGGTGTCTTCTGCAGTCTGGAGCCAGCCTCATCATGGTGACTCTGCTTCCACCCACACAGTCATCATAGTTCCTGACTTGAGCTAGATGGATATCTTGGGGTTCTGTCCCACATAGAAGTATGGGTACATCACACAACTTCAACCCCAATAATTTGTAGACTGAGGCAGGAGGATAACAAAGTTCAAGGCCAGCCTGGGCAACTTAGTGAGACCCTGTCTCAAAATAAAAAATAAAAAGGACTAGGCATGTAGTTCAGTGGTAAAAGGCATCCCTGGATTCAATCCCCAGTACCATTAAAAAAAAAAAAAGTGGGTATGCAAATATTTGAAAGTTGCCCTGACTGATCTTAAGGTCTTCTGCAGGGCACTGTCAGCCATTCCTCATTCCCATCTTTACTGGTCTCACTGGACTTGTGTGACTGTCCAGTTTCTCAAGCAGACTGTTAGAAACAGAGCCTGATATAGTCGCCACACGCCCAACACCAGCCCAGAATCTGGTACATAAGAAAGACTCAGTGATGGGGATCTAGGGTTGTGGATCAGTGGTAGAGCACTTGTGTAACATGTGGGAAGCACCACATATAAATAAATGAATAAAATAAAGGCCCATCAATATCTAAAAAAATTTTTTTAATAAAACTCAGTGAATAAACATGGAGGGGGGTTCAGGGTGTCTCTGTTGCTAGTCCACAAAATGATCTGCAGCAGCTCCCCCTCTCTCTAGGTCAAATAACTGAAGATTCCAACCCCATGAATGATGGAGAATCTTTAATTTGTTTTTATTTTAGTCCCTTATCAGTTGTCAGTCCTCAGACAAGTCCCTTAACCTCTCAGAGCTGTACAAAATGTACCTGAGAGGAGCCAAGACACTTTTTAAACTGATTAGCTCCACCCAAGCCATTGCTGACGTGTACATGGTCCTGAACCTGTTAGAAAATGTTGTGTCTTTTGGATCCTTCTTTCATGAGTGTTGGTGCTGATGCACTTGAGACTACAGATTGAGTGGGGTGGAGGGACCTACACAATCACTTGGGATCTACCCATAGCTTTGTCTGCTGTCCCTGGCCTCCACCTGGCCAGCCCCCTGGCAGGCAACAGCATGGCTGGCCCCTGGCCCAGTCTGTCACATCTCACTGAGCGGCTTTGCAAAGTCAGTGTTTTTTCAGGTGTGCTCCTCTTGTCTCCCATCTGGTCTGTGAGCTCCTGGTGGGCAGTGAGCTCCTGGGGCCAGCTCCAAAGGTTGTATGAGGAGCTGGGACCTTGAACTCCTGAGGGTGCCAAGGTCAGGAAAGTGCCCACCTATGGTGCTGAAGTACAAGGGGATGTAGGAGGGTATCCATCCAACAATTGTCTGATTCCTTATCTCTTTCTGGAAGACTCAGTGGGGTTCTTTTTCCGCCCCTGCAAGTTTCTGTCAACTGATTTATCTCAAAAGGAACTAAGTGCCCAGCTGAAGATTTGCAGCTCTTCAGCTGGGGCTACTGACAGCTTTTCCCAGAGCCTCAGTTTTGCCAACAGCGAAATGGGGAAAGGGGAACATGATACCTGCCCACTACCTTCTTCATGGGGCTTCTTGAGTAATTGAAACTTTTCACCACACGTTAAAAGGCTCAGATGAAAGGCAATAATGGGATGAAAGTCTCTTGGAGCCATATTAAGTTTCTCCCAGGTTTTTGAAGCCTTGGCAGAGTGGCTGGAGGAAGTGGTTCTCCAGCTAACAGGTAGTTGTGAAGCCACCTGGAGGGTGATGCAGAGGGGAATTAGCATGCCAATCAGCCACACCTAGGGCGTGAGGGCTGTGGGAAACTGAAAAGGGAACCCTTGTTAGGGATGAAATTTGTCATTTCCCTGAGGAGGGAAGACTGGGACAACATGCTGAGGAAACAGAGCCCAAGGGATGGAGGCCAGAAAGGCATCCTTGTTAACCTTGGACAAGGCCCTCACCCTCTCTGAACTTTGGTTTCCAGATGTTTGAAAGAAGACTGAGTACAGCAGTTCCAGAACCTGGCTGCACATCATAATCTCCTGGGGATGACCTTCCTTCCTTTCTCTTTCTCTCTCTCTCTCTCTCTCTCTCTCTCTCTCTCTCTCTCTCTCTCTCTCTCTCAACCCCCGGCCCCCTTCTTTCTTTCTTTCTGGTGCAGGGAATGGAACATGTTCAGCAAGCACTGTACCACCAACTTACAGACCCAACCCCGGAACTCAATTCTTCATTTATTTCCAACCAATTGTACATTGGGAGGTAAAGTATGACAGAACTGAAAATCTACATATATAATCTTTTTTTAAAAATATTTTTTTAGTTGTAGATGAACATAACATCTTTATTTATTTAAATGTGGTGCTGAGGATCAAACCCAGTGCCTCACACATGCTAGACAAGCATTCTAACATTGAGCCATAAACCTAGCCCCCTTGTACAATCTTTATACTACTTTTCAGCTACATTTTAATTCTCCCTTGACCAATTATTTTTTTTAAAATTAGGGTTGCAAATAGATAATCTCATAAAACTATTTTGTGTTTCCAATCTCTTCTTTCCTCCAGGCTCTCTTTGGTGGAAACCTGAAAGCCAGCAGAGGGAAGACAGGAGGAGTGACAGGGATTGTCCACAAACTCCCAATTTTTTTTTTTTAAGAGAGAGTGAGAGAGGAGAGAGAGAGAGAGAATTTTTTAATATTTATTTTTTAGTTCTCGACGGACACAACATCTTTGTTGTTATGTGGTGCTGAGGATCGAACCCGGGCCGCACACATGCCAGGCGAGCGCGCTACTGCTTGAGCTACATTCCCAGCCCCAAACTCTCAAATTATAAGAAGGGGTTTTTGAAGCCTAAAAGCTGGCCTCTGTCCCCCTCTCTGCCTCAGAAAGTCCAAGTTACTCTTCTCCCTGCCCAGAACAGACTTGGATGAACCCTGGACACAGAATGGGTCTTTAGACATGCCCCCCACCCCCCCACCCTCTCCCCAAGGAACTTGGGTACAGAGAAGAAACCCACAGTGCTAGGGCCAAGGACACACAGAGGCTACTACAGAAAGGATCCCACCCTGTCCTATGCATCATGCAGGAGCATCCTGTTCAGAGGGGGTCCTTAGGCCATCTGCCCTATATAGCTCAAGAAAGTGAAAAAAAGCCAGTGCTGTATTTAGAGTTGCAGAGGCTAAGGGGACAGACAGAGATGACCAAATGCCTGGTAGGTGTTTCATTTGTACTAAATTCTTCAGCACCTGGCCACTCCTGCTCCCCTTTCCCCAGTGTTCTAGGGTTCCCTTACAAATGTCTGGGGTTTTATAGAGGGCCCTGAGTCATGCCCTGGTTGTACATCACACAAAGCCTGGCAGTCAGAAAGTGGCCTTCAACAGCCCAGGTAGTCCCCTCATTTCCACTTCTCTGTTAGGAGATACAGCCATATTTTTTATCTGACAGCTAATAAAAACCCTAAATACATTGGGAATTTTTTCCTACTGATTTTTTGTTGTTGTTGTTCTTTTTAGTTATATATGACAGTAGGTGTGTTTTGACACATCATACATAAATAGAGTAGAACTTCCCATTTTTGTGGTTGTACATGATGCTGCCCAATCTTTTCATAGACTGTGACCAGCATCGTACTTCACATAGACCTCAGTTACAAACCTGCTTATGAGACTTAGCTCACATATATATCCACTTAGCAATGAATGGCAACTCAGCATAATCCTATAGTAGCCCTATCCCACCTACTGATAGGAGGAAGCAGTGGCTCTACCAAGCCAGGCATTGTCCTGCCCACAGGACCTCTCCTAATTCCCCAACAATCCATGCTGCCTCTACCATTTCTCCCATTTGACAGGTTGGGAAACTGAGGCTCTCAGAATTTAATGACAAGCTCAAGATTCCATAGCTTATATGTGGTGGGAATGGATCTGCCCACACCTCCAAACCTCCACTCAGTTCTTAACAGAAACTTGTGCATACCAGCACCCCAGTGGGAACCAGGGGCAAGCCAATGCCACCTGCCTTAGAGCTCCCCTGCCTCCTGGCAGTTGTTTAGGATCATCGAGAAATCAAGCCATTCTCCCTACAGGAATCCCGAAGAGATTGAGTCTTGAGTCAACAAAAAAATCTGGGAACAAAGCAAACAGATATTCCCTGACTCAACTGTACCCTGACATCTGGTTAATGTGCCCTCCTTCTTGCCATCTCTCAGCACCCCTAAAGGAGAACCCCATCACCATTTTAGAGTGGAAAATTGTAGCATTGAGCATATCCACAATAATGTGCAATCTTCATCTCTATTGATTCCCAAATAACTCTACCACCACTAAAGGAGACCCCACAGCATTCCTCTCAGTTTGTGGCAACCACAGTTTGTGAGTTCTGTCTCTATAAATTTGCTGTTCTGAATGTTTCAAAGAATGCCATCATACAAGATGAGACCTTTCAGGCCTGACTTCTTACACTTAGTATAATGTTTTTAAGATTTATTCAATGTTGTGGTATGTATCAGTACAGCATTCATTTTTAATGCTGAATAATATTCCAAGGTATGAATATCACCAATTAACCTATTTTACAGATGAGTATACTGATGCTTTGGGGCTGGGACCAGATAACTTACCCAAAGCTTGGTTATCCCATCTACTTATCATCTACTTGGCTAAGGCTGGGCTTGAACCCAGCTCTGCCTCCTCACCACAATAGTCCTCTCATATGCCCTCACTTCCTTCTCTCAACTCTGGTACAGAGATAGAGTCTCTAGACATTCCTGGTGTGGTATATGCAAATCTTTGGTCTTCCTTCCAAGACCGGGACCATGACCAATACTTCTTTCCTCCTTCCCTTGGCAACTGGACACTGAAGAGTTACACAGGAAATACATGTTAGTTGGTACCTTGACCTCTCTACATCTGATTCAATTATAAACCAGCACAAGCAGAAGACTGGTTAGGTGAATTAGGGTACATCAATAAGATAGAATGCTATGCAATCATTTTAAATAGTGCTGTAAGCGGGGTGTGGTGATGCATGCCTGTAATCTCAACCACTCAGGAGGCTGAGGCAGAGAATTGAAAGTTTGAGGCCAGCCTGGGCAACTTAGTGAAAACCTGTCTCAAAATAAAAAAAAGAGCCAGAGATATATAGCTGAGTAGTAGAGCACCCCTTGGTTTAATCCCCAATACCACGAAAAAGAAGGAGGAAAAAGACACTGTGAAGTAGCAGGAATTAATTACCATGGTATTATGGTGTGTCTGAAACATCCCCTGAAAGCTCCTGTGTTGAAGTCAATGCAACAATGTCCAGAGGTGGGGCTTATAGGGAGTGATTGGATTATGAGGGCTCTAACCTTGTAAGTAGATTAATCCATCTGATGGATTAATAATTTGAACAGACTACTAGGTGGTAACTGTAGGCAGGTGGGGCATGATTAGAAAATGTAGGTCACTGGGGCATGACCCTGAGGTCTATATCTTGCCTTGGTCCCTCTCTGCTTCCCAGCTGCCATGAGCTGAGCAGTTTTCCTCTGCCATGCCCTTCCACCATGATGTTTTACCTGGAGCCAGTCAAACATAGACTGAATCCTCTGAAACTGTGAGCAAAAACAAACTTTTCCTCCTTTAAATATTTATGTCAAGTATTTAGGTCACAGCCATGAAGAACTGACACACAGGAGAAAAAGATACCTTTTCTGAGAGAAACAAAATATCCATTAAAACAATATGGGAAACAGCATTTTTCTTGAAATATACATATTCACAGAAAAAAGTAACATATACATATTCACAGAAAAAACTCTGAAGGGGTATCTTCCAAAATTTTAATTGTGTTTATTTTTATTTATTTTATTTATTTAGGAGTGCTGGAAATTGAACCCAGAGGCACTCTTTCACTGAGCTACACCTCAGCCTTTTTATTTTTATTTTGAGATAGTCTCACCAAATTGCTCAGGTTGGACTTGAACTTGAGATTATCCTTAGTCTCCTGAGTCAATGGAATTATAGGCATGCACTTTGAATTTATTTTAGAAGATGAGATTATAGGTTGTACTCACTAATCAGATGTGGGTAAAAATATTATTTTTTTTTTACATTTGAATCAAATGGAATATAATTTCTCATTTTTCCAAGTGTACAGGTTGCAGAATCACATTGGTTATACAGCCACGTTTATATATACAACAATACTAGTGTCTATTTTATTCTGCTGCCCTTCCTATCCTCCCCCTCCTCCCCTCCCATCACCTCTCTCTCCCCAATCTAATGTAACACATTTCTTTTTTTTCCCCTCACATCATACATGTATTTTGTATAATGATGAGGGTCTCCTTCCATCTTCCGTGCAATTCTCCTTCTCCCTCCCATTCCCTCCCACCTCTCTTCCCTATTTAGTGGTAGTCTTCTTCTCAAGCTCTTCCTCCCTACCCTGGGTAAAAATATTCTAAATAAATATTATTTTTTAAATCAGTCAATCATTGTGGTTCAATCCCTGATACCAAAATACAAAACAAACAAAAATATTAGTCAATCAGATCAATTTGCCCTACAAAAATAAACTACTCAGAGTCCCTTGATGCTCTATCTCCACTCCTCAAGGAAGGCCTTTCAGTGGTTTTCAAAGCTCTTACTGGGACCTTGAGAATGTGTCTAGGACCAGGAGGATCTATCCTTCTCTGATGGCAGGCCAAGCTGATGTAGCATCCAGGTGGGGAATGAGGCGGGAGGAGGAACTGATATCCTGAGCAGATATGTGGGTGAGTTGGGCACATGGGACTTTGGGTCAAGGATGGGCTGTTCCATCATCTGGTGGTGACTCAGACCAATCCTCAGCTCCTCAGATTTCTTATCCATATAGGATGGGCACTGTCTTCTAGGCTCCTTCCAACTCTGACTCAAACCCTGACCTAACTAGCACTGGGAGAAGACGTAGCTACTGACAAAGATTCTTTGCTTGGCCAAACTTTACTTAGGCTTCTGAAACTTCTCCTACGCCCATCTGTGTTCTTCCTTATAAAATCCACTTTTAGCAAAGAACACTGCTAAATCATTCATCCTTGATGTCTGAACACCCTTGACATCTGATGCAGTTCCTCATCCCTCACCATCCCTCGGGTAATGTCTGATTGCCCTGGACTGTCTTTAGCTAGAAGCCTCTTATGTCAGTTTAGTCAGAATCCCTCTTTCCCCTGTTTCTTCTTGGTCATTTTCCATCCATTGATCCCTGCCCTGTACCTTAGTTATAAATTCCCATTTAAAAAAATAAAAAATAAAATAATAAATTCCCACTTGCCCCTGCTGTTTGGAGTTGAGCCCTCTCTCTCTCCCCAACAGCAAGGCTCTATACCTAACATGATGTTCCTGAAAATAAATGTCCTTACAATCTTTCACAAGTGTCAATAAAAAATAGTGTTTTTATTACCCAGCACAACCACTTTCTGGGGTGTGGCTCCCTGCCTATCCCAGGTGTGCCTGATAGTCTCCTGCATGGGTGAGTTCTACATGCCTGTTTGCTGTGTCCCGCCCCCCAAGGTTCAGAGTGCCTCTTCCCTGGTTAAGCAAACTGGCCTACATTAACGCAAAGGACATCCAGACCCAGCAAAAAGAACTTATAGCTTTAAATGTACCATTATGGAAAGAGGATCCTCAAGATACTGTGAAATGGAAAGAGCAAATTGCCAAACAGGATGTATACTAAAAGTCCATTTGTGTTGGGTATGATCACTCATACCTGTAATCCCAGGGACTCTGGAAGATGAGGTAGGAGGATCACAAGTCCAAGGCCAGCCTCTGCAATTTAGCTGCATTCTGTCTCAAAAAGTAAAAAGGGCTCAGGATGTAGTACTGGGTTCAATCTACAGTAACAAAATAATAATAATGAAAAAAATTTTAAAGCCCATTTGTGGGGCTCAAGTTGTGGCTCAGTGGTAGAGCACTTGCCTCACATGTGTGAGACACTGGGTTTGATTCTAAGCACCACATATAAATAAATGAATAAAATAAAGGTCCATCAACATCTAAAAAATATATTTTTAAAAATCTCATTTGTATGTTTTTTAAAGGATGTATGCTGTCTATACATGTTTATATTTGCATATGCATAGAAAAACTTTCAGGGAAAGATGCATAAAAACTCTTACTTCTGGGTTAGGGGACTAGGGAACTACAGTGGAGGACTTGAATTTTACTTTCCAGTCTTATACATTTCCTTGGGTGGTATGTGAGTTTTTTAAACCCCAACTATGTGTTATTTTAGAGTTAATTAAGAAGTGAATACATTAGAAAGAAGTTAATTAAAAATAAAAGGTATTCCTTCATTCATTAATAACATTAATATTTATATGCTTATATTAATTATTCTATTATAGTAGTATAATATACATTTTACATTTCTGAGAATATGATATATTGAGTATATAGTTAATATTAAGGATTAATAAATAAAATTCATAAGGGATCAAAATAAGAAAATGTTGCCTCAGGCCACAGTCTGAC